CATTTTTTGCTGTGATGGCTTATGGCAGAAGCGCACTGCCTGTGTTATTTCGGGCCTCTATTACAGATGAAGTGTCCGGTTCGATCCCCGCGGTCCGTATAACGGAAGCTTGAGTAATCAGCTCTTCGTGTACAGGCAATGAGCAGCAAAATCACTGGAGGGAAGCAATTCAGCACAGTAGGTTGCCCGTGGTGGAGGCGAAACGGATGGCATTTCTCTGGCTTTGGTAGGGGATTGAAGTAATCAAGTGTGACGACTCCGATAAATTTTTTGGTCACATTTATCGTTGATAAACAGCATAATTAGTCCTACATTCTAGTAGAAATGATGTCTGTTAAATTTAGCTACTCAGTCCTTTTTCCCTTTCTTAAAAATACTTAAATGTTTGAGAGTTAATGACGTGGTACTCAAGGTATCCTTCTCGGAGTAGAGGATAATTGAGAGATAAAGAAGACAAAGTAATGCACTCACCATCACATCTAAGAGACTCTCAGAACGGGTGTTTAGCCATCTATATTGTAGACATGCTATGATGCAAGCCATGGTGATTGAATATTTCAAACGAAGAAGACATTTACTTTCGCTGATGAATATTTTATGTTCTGAGAAAAATCTTTTAATGAAATGGCTACAGTAGAGTATTCTGAGTGTCATGTTAATTGCATTAGCAAAGATCATGCCCGTCAGACCCATCGAGTAAACCTCTATCAAAAGATACAGTAATCCCATAACAAAAATGCTCAGAATGGACATATAAATGGAAAAGGCTCGAATGTCTTTAGAACTAGCGACACTACTAAAGAAAGCTTCGAATATACCATTGAATGCCAAAAAAGGTATATATAAAACATACCGCGGAAGCACATCAAATACGTTAGTATCCAGCCACATGGAGCTGTTTCCTCCTAAAACAAGCCGAAGCAAGTAAGATGCATTTTGATATCCTCCCAATATAATTAATACAGTGAGGTTGACGTAAAATATGCAAAGATACAGCAACCACTTAAAGGATTGCGAAACGTTAGATTTGTTTCTTTGGAGCAATAACTTTGTAAGTGATAACCTGAAAGTTTCTTCTATAGGTAAAAACGCTATTCTAGCTACCATCGAGCCATAGTTTGATACTAGGGAATAAACACCTTGGTCTTCAATGGAGCAAAGCCTTGCAATCACTAACTTATCACCTTCCGTTAATAACTGTTTGAAGACTAGCTGAATGAAAATGCTTTTCCAAATCGCCAACACATTTGGATTAAAATAATAATAGCCTGAACCTTTCTTTTTAATGATTCCCTTAATGCGTAAAGCGAAGTTTTTGTTTGCTTCTTTACTGTAGTCCCAGTAGTAGCACAACGTCAAGGACAAAGAGTACACGAGTTGGCCAAATGTAAGAGCACAAACACAGAGCCCTTCGAAATACACCGACTCATGCCACAACCATCGTATCGCAAAGATAGTGAAACATATCGCCATAAACCTCAGAACGACACTAACGCTTTCAAATTTTGAGCGTTTTTTAAATTCAAGGTGATACTGACTGATGGCATACAAAGACTCCGAGGACAATTCAATTCCTATCAGGACGAAGACTAATACTAACGATATCTGATAACATTTTCTCATATGTACATCCTCATGAAATGGGTGTTGACTCTGCCAGTAACAAACCAATGAAGCCACAGGAAGCCCAATAAAAGACGGAATAAATCCAAAATTGGCTATACTTTGAATTATGGCAGCAGAAGCGTCTTGGCCTCGAGAATTGAGGGAAGTAATATTATGTCTTTCCCCCACAGATATAGTATCTTCTGTCCTTTGTATTGCCAACCTTTCTCCTTCTCTACTAAAAAATAGAATAGAGGATTGCAAAAAGCTCAAATAAGATGTAAGACCAAGCACTTTTGGCGAAATGTGACGTAGAAGTAATTGATTTAACGCAAAAGTACCTAGTTTACTAAATGCTTGTACCAATATCAAAAATGATGCTCCTGATGGCGCAGCTTCAACATCATCTCTTTCACCGTCACTCTTCGGCTCAGCTACAATATCATCAGGTCTCATAAATGTCCACTTGATCAACATAATACTCTTTACTGAATCGCTCTGGCTAGGTCCACTTTCGTACTGCTCGGATATTTAATACCTGAATTTACGCATTAGTGTGAGTAACTATCGAACCGTTCTATAACTAATTTTTCTGGTAGAGGTCGAGAATATCAGCATAACCAAAGAGCCATTAATCAACTAGCTGAACGTAATCATTAAGTAAACAAATTACATTATTGGATTGGGTTGAAAATTGTGAACTTATAAAGATCATTCCTGTTTATTTTCAAATAGACTGACTGAGCAAGATAAGAGATAAAGAAGATGGAAGCAAGTAATATAAATCCCCAGGACGTCGAGCTAAGGGAACAAGATCGTTGGTTGCCGATTGCAAATGTTGCAAGACTCATGAAGAATACACTTCCCTCGACTGCCAAGGTTTCTAAGGATGCTAAGGAATGCATGCAAGAGTGTGTATCAGAATATATTTCGTTCATTACGAGTGAAGCTAGTGACAAATGTCTTCGTGAGAAGCGAAAGACCATAAATGGAGAAGATATCTTGTATTCTATGCATGATCTAGGATTTGAGAACTATGCAGAAGTCTTAAAGATATATTTGGCAAAATATAGAGAACAACAAGCTTTGAAGCAAGAAAGAGGAGAATCAAGGTCATCCAAGAGATCAAAACAGCCAGCAGCTGACATACCCGACAGTCAAGTTGCATCCAACCTGCAGCTGTCTCTGTCAACTTCTCCTATGAACGAAGGGAATAATGCTTCAAATAATCAGGCAAATGACTACGGTAATGAAAACGAACATCAAGAAATCGAGCATCAAGAACTTGATTCGACGTCTGCTACTAACGTAAATAGCGCTGTTGGATCTAACAATTCTCTGACAAGTTCTATTGGCTCTCCAGATCCTTTTTTCGAACATTATGATAATGAAAGTGAGATAAAAATTAAACAGGAAGGAGACTCGACCAAAAATGATGCTGATACTGGAGTTTCAGAACAGAAAGAGGAAGATTACACATACGATGATTTCATAAGCGAGGCAAATGATGGTGCAATCACATCACATCAAAATATCGACGAATTAACCAAGCAGATAACTAATAACGACCAAGATATTGATACATTGACTGCTGGAATCGGAAACAGCGACTCTAATGATGGCTACTTTTGAAAAAACCCTTTATTTTAAGGAATGATTCTTTTGAAGAGAAGTAAAAAAACGAGTGGACAAGTTATATCATAAGCGAAAATATTCAGTTCTTAATTTGTGTTACGAAGATGCAATTCTTACAAAAGTAAAGTTGAACCAATTTCTGTCTTTGAAAGAAGTATATCTGTATATAAAGAAATATATTGTATAATGAAGCTAAGTTTATAAGTAATGATAAAAATATTCTTTGAAGTTTTCAGCCGAGTAGTATCTCAATAAATCTGTAGTATGCTAACTAGTATTATATATAGCCATGAAGATTTTCTACCAGATAATATCACCCTTATTAGGTTGAAGGTTAAAAGTTGAAATTGCGAGCCCAGATTCACATCTTTATACCTCTTCTCTGAAAAAAAAAATTTGGTTTGACTGCAGTGTCTGCAGAACCTAATGAAAAATAATTTAATAGCATTACATGGCTCTTATTCGATCGCTGTTAAAATTTATTTACAAGATGGGAAAGAGGAATTTCAGAAAAGGAAAGAACACGGACAAGAAAGGGTTTGGAAGTCGAGGAGCTAACAGAGAGAATTGGACAGAAACTGTGAAGGAAAATGAAAGGTGGGAGAAATACTATAAGGCAATGGAAATTGTTCCTGAAGAAGAATGGGCAGATTTTAAAAAACACTGTCAAGAGGCTTTACCGTTAACGTTTAGAATCACTGGCTCAAGATCTCATGCTGCAGAAATTAAGGACAATTTTATTGAAAATCATGTGAAGAAGCTTGAAGATGCAGAATTTGAAGGTGTAAAACTTACTCCAAAAAACTTGGCTTATTACCCAAATCAGTTAGGATGGCAGTTGAACGTTTCGAAGGCTGTCATTAGAAAAAATGAGCAGTTTGCTAAAACGCAACGTTTTCTTGTTATCGAGACAGAGGTAGGTAACATTTCACGTCAAGAAGCTGTATCAATGATACCTCCATTATTAATGAATATCCAACCTCATCACTATGTTCTAGATATGTGCGCAGCCCCAGGATCAAAGACGGCGCAATTGGTTGAAGCATTGCATGCAGACGAGGAGAAAAATTTGCCAACCGGCTTTGTCCTTGCAAACGATTCTGATTATAAGAGATCTCATATGTTAGTGCATCAAGTGAAAAGGTTGAACTCCCCAAATTTCATTGTCGTAAACCATGATGCTCAATTGTTTCCAAGAATTAAACTTAACAATGCAAATGAATTTTTGAAATTTGATAGAATTCTATGTGACGTTCCATGCTCTGGTGACGGAACTATGAGAAAAAATATTAACGTCTGGAGAGACTTTACTATTGGAAATGCTCTAGGATTACATTCTCTACAGCTCAATATTTTGAATCGAGGTTTACAATTATTGAAGAAAGGTGGCAGACTAGTTTATTCAACTTGTTCTCTATCTCCCGTTGAAAATGAGGCAGTAGTTGCTTCAGCATTAAGAAAATGGGGAAAACAGATTAAACTTGTGGACTGCAGTAACGATCTCCCGGGTCTAGTGAGGCGCAATGGGATCAGTTACTGGAAAGTGTACGGAAAAGATATGGAACTTAGAGAGAGAGGTGCCGAGGATGTACCTGAGAGTGTATTTCCTCCAAATGAAGAAGAGAGAACAGATTTCGCTTTAGATAGATGTATTAGAGTATACCCTCATTTGCAAAATACTGGTGGATTTTTCATTGCTGTTTTAGAAAAAACAGATCCCGAGGGAGCAAAGAGACCGTCTGAGAAGGAGCAGGAAGACTCATCTAAAAGACGTAAGACCGAAGAAATCAGAACTAAAGATGAGTCCAATGGACAAATAAATAAGAAAGAAAAATTGCCAAGAGATGCAAATGAGGAACCTTTTATTTTTATTAATCCCGAACACCCTCAAATTGCAAAGTGTTGGCCCTTCTATGATTTCGACGATGGCTTTGCTCGTGATTCCATCTTAGTTAGAAACGCAACAGGCGAACCCTTAAGAACAATATACTATGTTTCTCCGATTATCAAGGAACTATTGTCAATAGAAGAACAAAAATTGAAGATAATTCATGCGGGTATTAAATTATTTGTTGCCCAAAGAAATGATTCTGGTGAATGTCCTTGGAGGGTTCAAAATGAATCATTGCATACCATAAAACCATATTTAGGAACAAAAAGAAGACTAAGTTGTAACATGGAGTTGTTGAAATTCTTATTTCAAGAGGCATTTCCAAAGGTTGAAGCAATAAAGGAAGCTGGGATTGATCCAGGGTTCTCCGAAAACCTTAGTCAAGTATCAGAAGGATGCGTGTTTGTAACTGTGAAAAGACCAGGCGATAACTTGGAAGACTTATTTCTTCCTTTGTGGAAAGGAAAGACTAACGTTAATTTAATGGTCAATAAAAAGGACACACATGAACTTCTTTATCGTGTCTTTGGCATTGAAACATCTCAAAAAGACGAGGGAAAGGAAGCAAAGCACCAAAAAAGGGTTACAAATGAAAAAGAAGCTCGCGATACTCCAGAGGTACAACAAACAACCAAAAGCTAGCGAAATGATGTCATTTATCTTTTAAGCTAAAATAGAATTTTTATATATAATAATAAATATAATCAACTAATCAATCATTGTCCGATAGTATATCGGATCCCATGATCGAGGTCACATCCGAATCTGAATGGCTGGATGGTTCTTCTATATTATCCTGACTGTCTCCTTCTGCTGTTGTCAAGTATATATTTGCTGCATGCTCACTCACTAGGTCCTCGACGTATCGCTCTACCATCATACCAAGACCTAGTAATGCTGATTCATCAAGAAACTTTGTGAAGCGACGATTTTCTGGTCTAGATCCAATTTTTTTGCTCGCATAATAGTGTAAGACTTTTAGTAAGTCTGAGGATGGAAGCTGCACATCGTCGGCAAACTCGTCTCTGAACTTCATGGGAATTTTTATATTGGAGGTCTTTATCGAGTCAAGAATTTCATCAGGTGGTATACAAATGCCTCGACTTTGAAATATGGCATCTATATCTTCAGCATCTTTGTTTATTACTAGATCAATCTTTTGACCTCTTATTTTTACTCTGTGAGAAGATGAATTTACAAGCTTCCCTCTATTTAGTATAACTCCTCTTTTGTATTCACCATTACAGGCTCTGTATATATTAGAATTAAGGGCCTCACCTGCTGTCGTATTCATTCTATACGCAATAAACGAGTTTAAAAAAACCGAAAGGTCAACTTATGATATACTTTTATTTTACACGGTTAGGAGCCACAAACACGTTAATATTGTACAAAATATGAGGTAAACAGACATTTTATCGAAAGATGATTGTACTTGGTATTGGCGATGTCAGACCCAATTCTTATTAGAAAATATTATAAGACGAAGGAAGAAATCAGGCAAATAGAGTTTGAAAATGATAAGCGAAAGAGTCTTATAAGATTGGCTGTACTAAAAGTATTAGCTCTCTCTCAAAAAGCAAATCACAGAACAAAATCAAAGCTTGATATCGACGAAGCAGAGAGCATATTGTACAAAAAAACAGCTGAATATGAATTGAGGATGAATAAGCTAAAGCAAAATTTTGCGTCAAAGGAGTTACTATATAATTCAAAGCACGAAGCATTAAGACAAGAGATTAAAAAATTAAAGCAAGATATTAAAAGTCGTCCCAAATCATCAATTGCCTCATTATCGAACGCTTTACAACCAGACGTAAGCGTCCCAGGATTCAAGACTCCTAATTTCACAACAAATGCTATTGGGATGCACTTAAAGCCCGGAGATAAAGAAGAAACCAAGAGTTTTGAGTCCCCTGTCATGAATTCATTGATGAAAACAATTTTCAGCACTGGCAAGGATGATGACATCCTCACTCCCGTCAGATCATCCCGAAAAATTGTATATCCTATACATAAGAAAAAAGAGTACACGAATTACAATACGATTCGGAAGAGGGTTGAAAGTTTGCAATCAGTTCCCTCGAAGGAGAATAAAGAGAATACTCCACATACTCCTGATAGAAGAGAGGAAAGCATAGGCACGAACCAAAAACCAAACTCTTCATTTATAGCAAATTTTGAAAACTCTCCTGTTTCTCGCTCTCCATCGCCAGAATTTAGCCCGACAAGGACCAGCAAAGACGTTCTTCAGGACATTGAAAACTCATTCAAAGAACAAAGATCTATATCTGGATCTTTTGCGACTGAAAAAGATTCATTTGTGAGTGCTAATTCTTCATTTCAGACAGAAGTGCTGAATGATAAAGCTAAAACGAAGAGAAAGAGAAAAAAGTTACAACTATGGAAAGCTGAGACTACTCACTTGTCCACAGGAAAACAGAGCGACTCCACTACAAATATCGAAGATGAGGACATGAATTCCGCTAAATATTATCTAGATTCGAATTTCAATGATAAAAACTCTAAAGACCAATGACAATGAAAGGAAGGAATAATGCAACAAAGTACTCTAACTAATTTTGTCATATCATTTCACTTCGATTACCTTCTCTAGTATTCCACTTGGATGACTTCATCAGTATTGTCACGTGATCACTTTATTCAAGTTAGATCACCGAACGTTGAAATATAAGGACGATTACTAAATAGCCTAGTGTAATAAAGTTGAACTAGTATTGATACTCTAACATTATAGATAATACACCTAAGAGGTTGATCATGACAATACTTAGAGCTTGCATCAGCTGTATCAACAAAGGATGCGTCAGGTCATCTCGGATAGGATTGAGGTACGCTACTTCGGTAGTTGACTCTAAAATGCCAACGAGTGTTAATGAAGCTAGAGCGTATATATCAGGCATTTATGACAGAACTGATAGTATGCCTTCCTTTGAAATTATGCTCAAAGATACGCCCCCTTCTAAAGACCCTTCAACGGAGATAGAAGAACTGCCCGAAAATGATAAACCAGAGGCAGATGATAAGAAGGAAACTGAGAATGGCGAACAGAACGAGGAAAAAAAGACACCTCAAGAGATCAATGAAAACAATACCAAAGAAGGCGTTTCTTCTGGAATAAAGGGTGGCGCCACTTCATCAGCATCAAATGGAGGTGCCAGTGCGCCTCCGAGTGGCAACAACAATGGCGATGGCGAATCTGGCGATCTGCTGCCTGGTCTTGATCCCGAGACAGGATTATATCCACCTTTATTAGCTATTCCGATGAAGGATAGACCACCCCTACCAGGTAGACCCTTTGCAATTAATATCACGGATCCTGAAGTTATTAGATCAATTTATACAATCATCGATAAAAGGGAGCCTTATTTCGTTTTATTTCACGTTAGGGATCAGAGTGAAGCAGATACTGACATTGTGAAGAGTAAAAGCTCGGTTTATGACATAGGTGTACACTGTCAAATAATTAGACATACGACACCGAGGCCTGGTGTTTTTAATGTTTTGGGTTATCCCTTGGAAAGGTGTAAATTAGAGGAATTGTCAACTCCTGGAGGCGAAAAGTTGTCTAAAGGTGAGAAATTTACCAGCAGCTTTCCAACCTCTTATTTGAAGAATTTAAAGGTTTCATGTGCAACAGTAAAACCAGTAAAAGATGAGCCGTTTGACAAGTCATCACCCAATATTAAATCTTTGATTGAGTCTTTGAAGGCTTTGTTGAGTAAAATGGGTGGAAAGAACCCTCTCGAAAAGCTACAAATAAAAGAAGGAACTGAACTTGTCAATAACCCGTCGAAATTTGCTGACTTTGTTGGTTCTACTATTCATGGAGATCCGAAGAAGATTCAAGAAATTCTTGAAGCTCTAAATGTTGAAAAGAGACTATCAAAAGCTTTAGAGCTTTTGAAAGTAGAGCTTAAGGCAAGTCTCATAAAAGAAAATACGATCCACAATCTTAGTACGAAGGCTGATGAATACCAAACTCGTTTATTTATAAAGGAATTTATAAAAGAGCTACAAAAACGTGCGGGAATTGTTGATGCGGAGGATAAAAAGACATCAAAGTTTGACGAACGTCTCAAGCATTTAAAGTTAACAGAGGAGGCAATGGAAGCATATAATGCAGAGAAAGCCAAAATGGAGAGCCAGAATGAACATTCAAGTGAACTTGGTGTCAGTGAGAGGTATCTCGATTGGTTAACATCGATTCCTTGGGGAATTTTCTCTAAAGATCGCTTTGTAATTAAGGAAGCCCGAAAAATTTTGGACAGAGATCACTATGGACTTAAAGATGTCAAGGAACGAATCTTAGAATTTATTTCTATGGGACGAGTTTCAGGTAAAGTAGATGGTAAGATATTGTGTTTGAGTGGTCCCCCTGGAACAGGTAAGACTTCTATAGCAAAATCTATCGCAGAAGCTTTAGATCGTAGGTATGTTAGGATTGCAATGGGCGGTATTCAGGATGTCCACGAAGTCAAAGGACACAGAAGAACTTACGTTGGCTCTATTCCCGGCCGGATCATCTTTGCATTGAAGCAAGCGAAGACGAGTAATCCTTTAATGTTGATCGATGAAATAGACAAATTAGACTTGAGTCGTGGAGGAGGAGCAGCATCTGCGTTCTTGGAGATCTTAGATCCTGAGCAAAACAACTCTTTTGTCGACAATTATATTGATGTAAAGGTCGATCTATCAAAGGTATTATTTGTTTGTACCGCAAATTATTTGGGGAATATTCCGGCTCCATTAAGAGACCGTATGGAGATTATTGATGTATCGGGCTATACGAATAACGAGAAAATTGAAATAGCAAAAAGGCATTTGATCCCCGAAGCAGCAAAGAAGGCAGGACTTGAAGAAAAACATGTATCGATTCCGAATGAGACAATATCTAGACTTATTGAAAAGTACTGCAGGGAAAGTGGATTAAGAAATGTGAAGAAGCTAATAACTAGGATTTTCAGCAAGGCTTCGTTAAAGATTGTGGAACAGGTTGAAGGTACAGAGTACGACAAAGCAGAGCAAACGAAAAGTTCTCAAAAGCTAACATCCAGCACGGATGCAGTCGAGGGTAATGAAGAAAGTAATCGCTCTGTGATGAAGGACGACGGCGAGAACCAGGCTGAAAAGTCGGATACACAGTCTGACATACAAGAAGGTAAGCAGTCCCACCGCAAAGACATAGCAATTGGAGAGAAAGAAGATTCAATAGAAGTCAATAAAACTGAGCAGAAAGAAGAAGACGGTGCTGAAGAGCCATTAAAGTTGAAAATTCCAAGTGATATTAAATTGGAAATCATTCCGGAAATTTTGAAAGATTATGTTGGACCTGAAATATATACCAGAGATAGAGTTTATGATTATCCGCCACCCGGTGTTGCTACTGGGCTTTCATACAGTACCTCTGGTAATGGAGATGCCCTTTACATAGAATCAATTTTGACCCACCCAATTAGCTCAGGTTCTGGTCATCCGAATATCCATATTACGGGAAGTTTGAAAGATGTGATGAAGGAATCTGCTTCCATAGCCTACTCGTTTTCTAAGCTGTATTTGGCAAAACAGTTCCCAGAGAATAGGTTTTTCGAAGCTGCTGACATTCATGTTCATTGTCCGGATGGTGCAATTCCCAAGGATGGACCATCTGCCGGTATATCTTTCACTTCGTCTTTGATTTCTTTGGCCATCAATGAATCATTACCTCCGACTGTAGCCATGACTGGTGAAATAACTGTTACTGGTAGAGTGTTACCTGTTGGTGGCTTGAGGGAAAAGATTCTTGGTGCAAAGAGGTATGGATGTGATACTATCATATTCCCCAAGGATATAGAGAACGAGTTAGAAGAAATTCCCCAAGAGGTAAAAGAGGGTGTGAAGTTTGTTCCGGTCGAGTGGTACCAGGAAGTTTTTGATACAATATTTCCCAATGCAGATTCAAAGAAATTCAACGATGTGTGGAAAGATGAATTTGCAAAATTAGATCAAAAGAAAAAGGGAAAGAAAAAGTAATCCAATTCGAAATATGTAATTACTAGTCTTTTGAAGAGTTACAGTCTCAATTTTTTTTATATGTACATAATTTAATTTAAAGTATACTCCATGATCATTATTTCATTATTCGTCTGCATTCTCTTTCACGTCACTAAAGAAATTTCTTACTTCTTCTTCAGTTACTACCCTACCTTCTTCCGCAAAAGGTTTGAAAAAGTCCCTCAATTTGGTTCTCATTTTATCGTAGGCTTGTAAACCTTCTATCGCTTTTTCTCTCGGTAAGCTCAGCAAAGCATTGGATCCTAGCTGTAACAAGGAAGTATTTGATGATTCGTCGTCAAATTCTTCGGGTTCCATGAAGATAGGATCCTCCTTGTACAAAAACTCATAATTTAAAAGAAATTCATGCAATTTTGAAGACTTAGATAAACTGGATCTTAATTCTAGTAATTTATTCTTAAAATTTGGTTTGAAAAAGACTGAGTAAGGTGTTACTTTCTTGTCATCCACCTTCAATTTTTTGGACTTATGCTCATCAGTACTCTCTATTTCGTTAATGAAGAATTTATATTTAGCCTTCCAGTCATCAATTGACGACACATAGTCAAAATGGGGCAAAATACATAATGTGATATCTTTATCGTCACACAATATTTTAAAAATATCTGGAAAAGCCTTTGTGCACTTCCAACAAACGAACAGATCAAAGTCATTTGTATCAGGAAATCCGAAAACTGATTCATCAGTTGTTTTAGATCCTACTTGAGTCTGATTGTCAGTTTCAGCATCGTCCCCTGGTGGTGATAACTTTTCTAGTAAGTTTCCACTTGAAGAAGACTCTTTAGTTATATCAGGACCGTATCCAAGAATACACCTATCATGATACCATTCTTCACCACATTCAAATCCAAAGAAGCATTGGATCATGGTACCAGTCTCTTCTAGATGGTTATATGGCTTCAGACAGGAGCAAAACAAGCCTTCAAAATTCTGCGTATAAATATTAGACGAAGATGGTATGTCTTCAGCCGCATGCTCTAACTCATGTTTCCAATGGGTTGGAGCATCAAATGACCCAGTTCTAGGTCTTATTGAGCTATTGGACTCCTGTTCTCTTATTCTTAATTTACATGCTCCATTAGTTGTCTTCGCCATTCTAGTTGTTCCACAATCACACACAAAGTCTCTTTTGGCAAACAATTCAACAATATCATGCGTCGAATGACATTGAATGGAGCAGGAGTAACAGACGCCTACTGGGTTGTCATCATTCAACCTTGAACACGTCAAGCAAGCAAATACTGGTTGTCTTGTAGGCCCTTTAGTGAACGTACATTCCTTCGGATCGTATGGCATCATTTCAATCGCTTCTTTCTCTAGCTGTGACTGAGTATTAACATAATCAACAGCTGTTACACAGTCGACTTCTTCATTGTGACTGGCCGATGACATGATGGGTATGTTATTAAAGTCCTTCCTACCTTGATATTAGTAAATTCACGCGAAAATGAAAATAAGAGAAACAAAAAAAAAAAAAGTATATAGGAGCGACAAATCTTTGCACCCATTTTCCTCTGAGTAGTTTAGTTTAAAGCGTAAATTGAAAATTTAAAGTTCACTTTCTTTATCACTTGCTATTTTCGAAGAATGACATTAAGATTTCTTCTTAACAAAGTAGTTCAAAGGCATACATAAATTAGTCTACTTATGGGTTTTTCTGACAACTCTATTTAATGTCAAATACACAAAGCTTTGTAGCCATAACCGAATTATACAAATGGATCGTAATAATCTCATACAGTTCCTAAATAGTGTAGAAGAGACCGAGCCTCAATCAAATACTTCAAGCTGTCACTTGAAAAACTCTGAACACCAAAAATATCACTATTCGATGGTAGATATTTCTTTAACAACGTCGTCGAATGTCTCTCTGTATTCAGTAACTTTATCTGCATTTTTTTGTGACTTTCCTCCTCCAGGTGTTATCATGACGCATGATGTTGGTCTTTTAGTAGCACCAGCAGACCCCAAATCTTCCTTAGATGGAATAAAAAGGTAAGGTACGGAGGAGTCCTCGCACAAGACTGGTATATGTGAGATCACGTCAGGAGGCGAAATATCTCCCGCAATTATCACAAGTCCCTTCTCCCCTTTACGTAATGCTTTAACAACTTCTTTGACTCCTCTTTTGACATGCTTAGCTTTAGATGCTTTCTTAACCGTCTTCAATACCTTCTTGTTCAACTTTTTGGATGCTAATGGGCGAGCAAAGGGTAATACTGCAGCCATGCGCTTATCATAGTTGTCTTCTGTGTCTTCACTCTTAGAAGACTTTTCCTTTTTCGACATTGTTATTGCTACGTTTAAAAGATCCAATATATTCTCTCTTGATGAACTTTAGATATTCAAAAAATTTCAATGCTGAGATGCCAAGTATGTTACACAAAATATTCGGTCAATGCACTTACTATAACAAACGCATTATGACATTCACAACTAAGTTTCTTGCTTGAGTTTACACAATGCCTGCTCATGGTCTTAAGAAAGGTCCAATGGAGGCAACTAGAAAAAGGAGACGAGAGTTTTCTCAATCACCTAGCTATATACCGAAAGATGACTTTTTGAGAGATAATCCCACCAGGTTAGACCAGATGGATGTTCCAGAAGATAGTAAAGTGCTTAATACTTTGAATAGAATTGGCCAAAGGCAGATAAAGGATAACAGAAAAAAGCACGGGACCTTAAATATTGTCTTAGGTTTGACGGAAGCAGAGTACTTCGAATGTCAAGATGTGGATTTCACCAAAATTTTAAACCAATCTTTTGGTGTTGTCAATTTCAAGATTTCAAAAGCGATCGTAGGAACAATAGAAAGGATTCTTACTATCTCGGGAGATACATTATTAGTTTCAAAAGCTGCAGTCTACATTGCTTTCCTATTGCTGGCAAAAATAAATCGTATAATCAACAACGAATTATATACATTAAAGTCAAATAATTATTCATTAACTTTAATAGTATCACTGAAATGCCAATCTAGAATTCATCATGCATTAGAGGCACAAAATGGAATAGAATTTGATTCTTCAGAAAGTTATGGTTATAATGGGCAAATTGATTTGCAACTAATACAAATTAAAGGTGACTTCTATTCATTGCTTGGTTCTTTAAATGCTATTATAAGTTTAGATGCCGATAAAGTGGATAACATTACACAAGAAAAGATACTAGGCATGGCTTGTGACCCTAACCTCTTTCAAATAAGTCCTGAAAAGGAGAAGAAAACTGAAAAGAAATTTTCTCAAGCACTCAACTATATTTATTCAAAATCTATACTACAGACGGAATAGATATAAAGTAAAGATAAGTTCTAGACCGGTTGTCTATTTCAATATTTGTATTACCTTTCATATTTGTAAAATAGGTGTACATAATTTTTAAAGTATCAGCCTGATCGGCTATACGTTCTTAATCTCTACGTTCCTTGCCTTCCTAGAAATAGAAGCGACTCTGTCACCTAGAGATAATGCCAAGCCTTGTCCTTTAGATCTTATTCTCACATGACCTATTATAGGACCATCATCTTGCTTCTCAATACACAAATTGGCCAAGGCATCTTCACCAAATGATGATCTAGAATACAAGTTCGCGGACAAAAACTGACATTCCTCTCCAATAACTGCCCCAGGAGTCAAGCAGTTCATGTTTGTTCCTTGCATAAGTTCCTCTAGATATTCTTTCAAAGACGCCATTTGTGATTTAATAGTGATTTTGTTTTCCCATTCAAATTCATTCCACATCTTACGGAATTGAGCTTCCGTACATGAGGCTGGCTTTATATAGTCCATTATGTCGACATGAACATCATTTAATATCACGATTGTTGATTCATCTGAGTGTTGACCATCATATACAATATTCCCAAAAATGACTCCTGTATCGGCTGAAGTAACTTTCACAGTTGTTTGAATTTTATAAAATCCGTGTGGTCCTATGTTTGCAGTAGTAGGCTTATCGACAACCTTCAAGTCACCCAAAGTTGCAAATTCAACAGAAAGGTTACGTAATGTGTTAGTTGTTTGGTTCACTAATAAAACATCCAACACAACATCAAATTGGTGAACCTTGACATAAGCTTCTGCATAGATCGGGTCTGAAAAACCTGTAAGTTGTAAAATTTTGTTTAATCTTGAAGAGAGATCCTCTTTCTTCAAATCGCTTCCTGTTGCTAAAGAAAGATCATCATTTTTAGAGACAGCGGCTGTTCTATCTTTGTCAAACTGTCTAAAGACAATAGAATCATCAACTTGTTCAGCGTTCTCATGGAAGTCTCTCGCAGCAGCTTCTGCCCTTTTTTCTTCAGCAGTTGCAATTTGTGCTTTAAAAGCATCCCTGGTATCATCTAAGAATCCAGATTGGATGAGCTTTGCATCTTCATCGTCTGTCAAAAATTTTATGCAAGAAAATATTCTGTCTCCAGAATCCTCATCAATCTTTTTCGTCACGAAAGGACTATTTCCAACTCTTAAGATGGAAACCATGATTAGTAAGGCTTCAGCTTTGAGAGCATTCAAAAGACTTACTTGTGTATTGAGACGTTCCAACCGCAATACAAGCTTTACCAAGGTGGAAGACAAAACAGCTCCCAAATAAAAGTCACCAGACAAGATGAGCTTCCTAATAGGTGGTTTCTCTTGATTATCGATCTCCTGTACCTCTGTAGTTAAAGCATTTTCAGTCGCATACGTGCCATCTGGCAAGATAGTCGGTCCCTTTTTAGTAGCCACTTCACTTGTTCCATTCAGTTCTCCACTATCAGTTTCTTCCATAGCTTTTTTTTCGCTAGCGATAATAGGTACCTCACCTACGCTTGACCTGATATATTTCCAAGACTCCTGGATCAATTTTTCTTCCAAACAATATTCCCCAATAATCCAAAGAGATCCTCGAAAGACTTTACCGCTCTTTACATCTGGCAAAGCTGAAATTAATCTGCTTAAAAGAGGAATCCTTAAATCAGGAAATTTTTCAACTACCTCTTTGACAAAAGTGATAACTTCATACGAAGCACTAGTATTCAAATCACTAATGGAGTCAAGCAATAAGTCTACAACATTAGCCGCAACTTCAACAAATTTGATTGCTAGCTGATGGATTGAATTGATCAACAATTGCCTGTACTCAGATGTTTTATCTTCATTCAGTGAAGAGGTTCTTTGCAACTCCTTTTTCAATAATTTAACAACATCTTCAACATTTCTGCTAGTAATGAATTGTAAAGTAACGTCAAGCGCCTTCTTCTTCACATCTAAATCCTGTGAAGATAATACCCTCAAGATGTCTAAAGACAAATCTTGCAATACTCCAGGATTCTTCTTATTGAGCTCATTGATTCTTTCTAAAGTAATGATCTTCACATTATTATCAGCCTCCTTTGTAGCTAATTCCACAAATTTACTACCGGCTAGTAAAATGGATTGTGTATTAGATGACAACACTGTAAGTGTCGTTGCTGCTTCATAAACAACAACATTTGATGAACTTTCGATGATGTCTGTGATCAACTGGGTGTATTTAGGCTTTAATGAAGGGTTTTTGTATGAATCTTGCCTAATGAACTCAATGAAAGCTAATTGAATTAATGAATCCAACGTTTCTAAAACAGTAATATTGTCCTGAACATAGTGCAATGCCGCATCCCTATTCAAGTCACCTAGTGATACAAAGGCGTTTCTTTTGCAGACTGAATCAGTTTCCTCGTATAAAAATTTGTAAATCAATTCATCTGCATCCGGCACTAAATGCTCAGATAGTTTATGTATGCAATAAACAGCAAACACCGCATTCTTTCTAACATATGCATGACGGTGTTCAAGACATTGTCGAACATTGGGTACCAAAGTCTCTAATAAGTCTGGTTCTTTCAATTTGCATAAAAACCGAAGAGTATTTCCTCGAACATATTCATTCGGATGCTGCAAATCTCTTTGAATAGCGTTACACACAAGAATCATTTCTTGTCTCATTTTTCCATTGCTGTCCAATTTCGGACATACTTCCCAGTAGAAATATAATAGCTTTTTCAATTCCTTATTTTTTGAGGGCATAACGAATCTTATAATATGCATTAATAGATCCGGAAGTGGATCCCCGTTGAGAATAGTGATCAAGATACGCTTCATCGCATCAATCTTCGTCTCATCCTTGCCTTTTTCCAACAATGAACGAAACTCACTGACTGACGTTTTAGTAGCCACGTTTGGCTCGTAAATCAAAGTATACCCAATATCAGCCATTGGAAATCTTATAATGTTAGTATCTTGAGGTTTTACAAAGCCTTACGACATCAAGGCAATAAATGATTATCATTTAAACTTACCAATTAACCTTGGATTTGGTCGACAGAATCCAAATTCTTATAACAATTATTGGACAGTATTTACACTAAATCTCTCTCTGTTCATAACAGTGAATTCTTTCGACGTGTTAGCAATATATGACAATTTACACGACCTTATTAATCACGTGACATAATATTTGAGATACCATTCTACAGTTTGAAATTATGTTTAACTTATTTGTATTGTATATGTAAGCAAATTATTCACTATCTCCCGTCGATATCGTATCAGGGTTTGCAAGCGTCAAACGGGGACCATCCTCATAAGATTCATAGCCGTTTTGTGATGATAACTTTTGGTCCATCAATTCGACTTCTGTTTCATCCTCGTCTTCTTCATCATCATATTTATAGCCAGGGTGCTGGTAATAAAGACTCACGCCTATATTAGAGTCAGAAATGCTTCCAGATGAGGATGAACCGGATTCACTTCTTTTAAGACTTGGAAGGGCTGAAGAAGACCCAGATTTGACACTTTGTAAGTCCATAGAAAACGAATTCGTCGTACCAGTCCTTTTGAGTGAACTACTACGTGACTCAGAATTGCTCAATGTAGAACTAGAGCCAAGAGCAGCAGACGTACTAATATAATGCCTTTTAAGGCCGGTATTAGATCTTGCTAGCTTGGACTTCCTTCCCCCTATACTGTCATCAATTTCCTCGACTTCGGCCGCTAATAAACGCGGCTTTAAATGACCATGTTTCAATTCAACACCGCTCGATTTCTTCAACCGGCCCTGTGGTCCAGAGAATCTCATGGATCTTCCACTAGTTGAAGCATACCTATATGATTTATCGAAAGGCGCTATCCCAATTGGCAATTTCCACTTAGATGGCCCGCTTTCATTAAAAGCAGTTCCAGAATTCCTGCGAATCGTCATGACATATTGGGAACGTTCACCTTCACCGGGCTTAAGACTCAATGTTCTTTTAAGGGTTGCCAAATTAACACTTCGATATGAATTGGAACTCCAAAGAGATGTAATTGATCCCGACTTTTTATGTCCGAATTGACTGGTTGTGATATTCGCTTTTTGATCTATAGAATTCAGCGTCTTGATTGAGCTATCAATCGGAGCGGATATAATTGGTTTGAGAGGAATTGTTAAAATCTGTGAGCTATCCAGTCGATTAGCCAAAGATGGAACTGAATTCTGCTTTAAACTGTAACCACTATCTTGGCTCGTCATACCTAAATTAGGTGATACATCGGCATTTCTGTTATAGTGTACATTTTGTCCTGAAGAAAAATTCTCGATGCTTTTCGAAAACGGGGTTGCTTCATGAAAGTCTTGCGAGGAAGCAGAATCATAATGCTCTGATAGCAAGTTTGAGCTCGACGAATCCTTGTCAAGTTTCTTTTGAGTATTCTCAGAATCCAGATCCGTAGATGTAAGCGGCATATCTACAGGATATGGTAACGAGTTGGATGACTTTTGTAGCTCATTCAAAGATAGTTTGACATTACTAGTTGACGAGTGCGCAGGAATCGACATTTCTCTATCAATACCCGATTGAGCAACTAAAGGCAACTGGTGTGATACCGGTAGGAGTTTCGTAGACGTTTCTGAAAGTGACAGGTAATTGCTTCCTGAATAATTGGAGGACTTTTCGTCATTAAACTTAAGATTATCAATTTCATTTTCCAAATGGGTAATCATATCAATTACTCCATTGGTATTTGCATGATTGTCAGTATCACGATCATTTGATTTTTGAGTATGCAAGGTTAATTCATCAAACATAGGAGGAGGTGGTTTCCTTCTCAAATTTGGAGTTTCACCACCTTTTTCCGGTCTCAGGGATACTGGTCTTCGAGTAACACTTTTTTCGTTAATGAGGTTATTGGTGCTTGCATATGTTTCGGTATCTGAATTGCATACTGGTAAATTATTTGAGCTAGTCTCCGAATGATTGAAACTTTCACCACCTCGCTCTTCGGGGACATTAAAAATGGCAGAAAATCTATGACTGAGTGCTTTTGGAAATCTTTTATCTTTCTCTCCTGACATATTATCCATTCTAGAAGGTGAAAAAAATCAAGATTACTGAAAACCTTACGCAAAACGTCTTGCAGCCTTATTTCCTCCTCTCTTCTTTTGCTTTTTCTATTCACTTATCACAATAGGTAATCAGATCCCTCAAAATCAGTTAACTTATGCATGTAGTCTTCTCTGTTAAATATTGAAACTGGAGTAGTCGTGTATATCTGATCATAATTGTATAAAATAATATACAGTCATCTTCATGAAAGTTTTCGACAGCAGGTTGCTGAGTTGAGAAGAAGTGCTTCAATTGACTTGATCTTAAACTGAACAATACAAAGAAAAATGTCTACTACAAAGACCAGTACGTAATATTTTCGTGACTTTTAGAATTCGTTTTCATAACTAACAATGTGTCAGCTGCAACCCCAGATTACACTATTGCCAACGGCGATGTTGTATCTAAATACAAAACTGCCGGTGAGATTGCACGCAGAGTACTTTCAGAAGTAATAAAGCAAGTTATCGAGGGTAGCTCAACATTCGAAATCTCTAAGAAGGGGGACGAGCTTCTTGAAGAGGAATTGTCAAAAGTTTACAATTCCAAAAAAACCTCAAAAATTTCAAAAGGCATTAGTTTCCCTACTTGTGTTAATCCTAATAACATTCCTGCTCACTTGGCTCCTATAAGCGAAGATGATGATTCTAACATTGTACTTAAAAAAGGCGATGTTGTAAATGTTATGTTGGGTGCGCATATTGATGGCTATCCTTCTGTTGTAGCAGAAACTGTGGTGGTGGGAGCAAGTGAAGCAGAACCTGTTACCGGGAAGAAGGCAGATCTTTTATATGCAGCTTGGAATGCTTCTGAAGCGGCAATTCGTACTTTTAGACCAAACAATAAAAATTGGGATGTTACCAATATTATACAAAAAGTAGCCAAATACTATGACACTACTCCTGTCGAGAGTATGCTTAGTCATAATCAAGAGAAAAATGTCCTCTATGGGCCCAAGGAGATTATTTTAAATCCAGCAAAGGAAAACAAGAGTCAAATGGATACCTATAAATTCGAAGAAAATGAGGTTTATGGTTTAGATGTCCTTATTTCAACGTCATCTGATGGTAAGGTAAAACGCTCCGATTATCGTACATCGTTATACAAATTGACTGGTAACTCTTATGCGCTTAAAATGAAATTATCTCATCAAGTTTTGGGTGAATTCAAAAAGAAGTGTTCTGGGCCGTTCCCTTATAACGTTAGAAATTTTGAAGATCCTCGGAAAGCTAGAGCAGGTTTAATTGAATGTTCAAATCATAACGTTATATTACCATACGATATAGTCACGGAAAAAGAAGGCGAATATATTGCCCAATTTTTTACAACTTTTGGAGTGACCAAAAATGGGATCGTTAAGTATACCTCTCCAAGCTTCGATCAAAAACTCTATAAGACTGAGAAGAAAATTGAGGATGAAGATATTGCTCAGCTAATTTCCAGTCCTTTGAAAGTAGCTTCCAAGAAAAAGAATAAGAAGAGTTCTGCAACAGCATCTCAGACTGCCTGAGGTAATATGACATAATGAGGATATTACAAGGTTATAGATAGTTTATAATTATTTTATATGCCCTTTATGTGCTCTCACTTAAGTTCTGTAGTATCTTTGTCCCATTATAGCTTGTGAGATTCCGCGTCCAATATGAGCGTGGGTACATTTAACATTTCAATATTTCTCTGCAGAAATTGTCACTTTGAATACGTTGGAGTAAAACAGTGGGCTAAGAATCTTAGATGACTTCAGCTCATTCAAATACTCTAGATTTGAATACCAACACTGGACTTGAAAGGAATCTGATTTACGATAATGAGAACGAGTCAGATCTTCAGTTTAAGAAGCTGTCGGAAACATCTGGAATGAAAGAATACGATGAAGTACTACGTACTCGGGAGAACCATGGCGACAAATCTGACAATTCAAGTAATACATCTTCACGAAATGAAAGTTCGACTCCAGAATCTGATAGAGAAAGCACGGTGTTAAAAGAAAGAAAGAAATTCTCAAGGAAGGATAAAAACAGAATGAATGGTAGTACAAGTAGCACAAGCTCTTTGAGATTAGAAGCGAGTCCCTTGATAAAAGAATCTAACGATACCCAACCTAATGGAGAAAACAATAGACCTTCTGGAGTGATACAAGCTGGAGGAAGGAAGGTTTTCATCGAACCTGACTTGGCTGGTCCCAATCCTAGCTACACTGGATTACCATTGGAAGCATTTCCTACAACAAAGATCAAGAAAGAGTCTTTATGGCCCCAAAAGGGAGCTAAAAAATCTTCAAAATCTAGTTCCAAAGAGCCTCAACCCTCAACTTTCACTGAAGAGAATGAAAACAGTACCGAAGCTTTGTATAACAGTGGCTTGAAAACCGATTTATCAGAAGACATAACTAGTTATAGCGATGAGCGTGAGCCCATAGAACTAAAGGTTCCTAGAAAGCGATCTTCATCTTTTTTGAAAGAGAAGTCAAGGACTCCTAAAAAGCCGAGAAAGAATGTGGAAGAGCACTCCCCCTTGAGAGCATCGAAGAGAATAAAAGTCATTTCTCCAAAGCGATCATCACGTACGAACTTGGCACCATCTTCTATACCTGGCGGTGATGCTTCGCATTCTACAGGCGACGATCAAACGAAAGATAATGATGATTTTTGTACTTCATGTGGAGAGCCTGGTGTATTTATTTGTTGCGATTCGTGCCCTAAATCATTTCACTTTACATGCTGTGATCCTCCTCTTGAAGAAGTTCCAGAGGAGAACTGGCACTGCCACGAATGCGTAGCAAGAATGAATCCTCAATATTTGACGCAATGGAACGATATCGGCATTTTTGGCCAACTTCTTAACCAGCAAGAAGGTAGGAACCCCAAGCAGTATGAGCTACCAAAGTATTTAAGGGAAAATACTTTCGTTGGTGTATCAACGGGAGAGAATGGAAGGTATCAGGATAGTACCACCAAGCCTGATCTTCCTCTCAATAAAATCAACGGCTCGCAAATTATTGGTTGTAATAAGAACGATGATCTTGAAATCGAATCACTTTATAAAAAAAATGGGAAACCTTATTTATGCCATAAATGCGGGATGTCTGGATTAAAACATAAGACCTTGGTACATTGTGATTATTGTCCGTTGATTTGGCACCTAGATTGTCTAAATGAAATTCTCTGTATACCCAAAACAATTGGCAGCAAATGGAGATGTCCCAATCATGTTGAGGAACTCTTACCACAAGACTTCGGTAAGCTGCGTCAGTTTAAAGGTACATCAGTGGTGGATGTTGCTTTGCATAATCAATTTTTGAAGATTGCTGCTATGAACAACTTAATAATTAAGTTTGACAACCAGGCGTATTTAAAGGAAGGAAAATTTCCACATCTTCAAGAATATTTGAATTTTCAAAATGAATACTACAAGTTTAATACTAATTTTATTGATAACCTAGACAATTATGAGGCCGATGATAGCACGCCATACAAAATTCCGGATTACTTCCAAAATTATTCAACATCGATTGGGATAACCGCAAAATCTTCTAATAAATTACACAAGGTTATTACGATGACCACAGGTGATGTCGATAATGGATCATTCATTTACCGTGTGCCAGAAAGACTGATAAGCTTGGATTTCATTTCAAAAGTTAAAAGTAAAAAACCAATTAAAAAACTCGAAATTCTTAGTTCCATTCAGGATTATGAAAATAATAAGCGATTGGAGCAAAACGAGGATGAGAGAATGATCGTGGACGGATTATTTGAGGTGAAAGCTTCAAAGCCATCAAATTTGAATTTCAATGAGCTAGTTAAGGTGGCATTACAAGATCAAAATGTTGAGCCCAAAATAACTAACAAGCAATCTCCTAGTAGACAACTTCATAATGACGAAATCGCTGATCTATTGTCCATAAAGAAGTTGATGGAATTGAAAGGAAAAGAAAAATTGTTACACTTCTTGAGATCATGAAAATTTCAATGAACATCTTTCAATATAATGAATATATACAAGATAAATTGGTCTCTATATTTTACATTTTTTGTGTAGACTCCTTTATAATTGGAATTTCTTTTGCTGGGACAGAATTAGCACCTGTTCTCTTAACGAGATTTTTGAGAATTTCATATGCTGTTTTATTTGCACAGTCTATTTCGATAACTTCATTGTTCTGACTGTGAACCAAAATTTTCGTCGGGCACCTTTCGAGATCTGCCTTGTTTTTGGTTTTGATTCTAGTTAAGCAAAATTCTGTCCCATCATTGTGAAACTTTAAAGTAGGTAGGTTATTTCTCCAAAATTTCTTTAATCCAATAGATGGACCATGAACCAGCTTTTGTATCAAGAGTAATTCAATCTTGTTGTATTTCGAAGGAAACTTAAAAGCAGTTTCCGGAGTTCCTGCAATATTATTCAACCTCGCTATTTGCTTCAAAACCTTAGAGGTAGGAAGGTTTTTGAACATGGAATGAGTAGATTTAGCCATCTTTCATATGGTTGTGCATTAGTTATTCTGTTGGAAGGATCAAAAAAAAAAATGAGTTTAAGAACAAATTGTAGTCACGTGCGACATTTCATTTCTCATTTCTGAATCTATGACTGGATCTATGACCAGACTGGTGATCTGATAAGACAAAATATAATAGCTGAGTTATATGATATCTATGAGCAACAAAAAGACATTATTACGCTTTTTATCAAGCAAAGCTGCTAAATATGTGCCTTCTTCAGGTGAGTACCCTATAGGATATTCAGTTGGGGGAATTCACTGTGGAATTAAAAAAGACGGAAAGTCATTGGACTTAGCATTATTGAGAAATGACTTTGGTAAGTCAGCCGTTGCTCTGGCAGTATTTACAAAAAATAAGTTTAAGGCCGCTCCCGTGCAAGTTTCCTCTAGCATTTTGAAAAGAAAGCATGGCGAAGGTATAAACTCTATCATTGTTAATAGTGGTAACGCGAACGCGGTAACAGGTTCAAAGGGCTATTCTGATGCAGAAGCTATGGTTACGGTCACAGATGCCGTCTTGGAAAACCCTCAAGATTCGACATTGGTAATGTCTACTGGCGTTATCGGCAACTTGTTACCCATTGACAAAGTTTTAAGTGGTATTCCGAAATTAGCCCTAAGTCATCTTGGGAATACACATCAAGATTGGTTGAATTGTGCTACTGCATTATGTACAACTGATACTTTTCCTAAATTAGTATCAAAGCAATTTCAATTGAATGGCAGAACTTATACGTTGGCAGGTATGGCCAAAGGAGCAGGAATGATATGTCCTAATATGGCAACCTTATTAGGTTTCTTTGTGACTGATGCTCCAGTGTCTGCAGCAGCATTACTGCAAATTTTGAAATATGCCACCGACCGCTCTTTTAATAGTATATCGGTTGATGGGGATATGTCTACCAATGATACCATTGTCGCTATAGCTAACGGGGCTGCCGGCGGAGAGACAATAGAAGAAGAATCTTCAACGGCAGAGGCATTTGCCCAAATCAGAACTGAGATTACAGGATTCGCCCAAAGATTGGCACAGCTAGTTGTACGCGATGGCGAAGGTGCAACTAAATTCATTACGATAAAAGTAAAGGATGCACTCTGCTACGATGATGCTAAGAGTATAACTTCCACTATTGCCAACTCTTCTTTATTCAAGACGGCCATGTATGGTGAAGATGCTAATTGGGGACGGATCCTATGCGCTATAGGGTATTCCAATGTAACCTCTACTGAATCGGTTTTGCCCGAAATGACAAGTGTTTCATTTATTCCTGCTGATGGAAGTAGCAAATTAGATTTATTGGTCAAGGGTGAACCTGAAAAGGTTGATGAAGAAAGAGCTTCTGAGATTTTGCAGCATGAAGATTTAGTCGTGGAAATTGATTTGGGAACTGGCGGTGGTCAAGAAGCTACATTTTGGACTTGCGATCTTTCACACGAATATATCACCATCAATGGAGATTATAGATCATGATATAGACTCTTATTTTTAGAATACAATTCACTTCGTATAATTTTCTTTAAACTCAATGTATTTATATTTTTCTCAAATCGCGTAGAGTTTTTCATCAAAAAAACCTCAATATCAATAGTGTCTATGACCGCATTTAATTGCAATACCTTAGAAATCAAGGATCTTCCTGATGTTTCGTTATCAAATAACTATGATAAGCTTTATGAGATGTTTTGTTACGTCTTGTATGCTGAAAAATCTGTGAAGGGCCCTCTAAGATTATTTGTTACTGATTTCACTTCAAGTCAGCATATTACAAACACTAGTTTCCCAAAGGACATTGAAATAGACGGTAGTTTTGTGATTTACGATGACAAAATCTTAAGAATTGACGTTTTTGATGACAAGATTGCTCTTATAAGAAGATTGTACACCGAATATTTTGGGACAGACTTCTTCGCAGACATGGAAGAAGGATTCGACTCTACAACACGTCGTTTCTATGTACATGAAAAGTTTTGGATTATTAAACCTGTATTGTCCTTAAAAAAGTATAACTCAACCACAGAGGCCAGATTAAAAAGAGTTTCATTTGTATCCAAACAAGACACACATCCATCTCTTCAGAGGCTCTATCAAAGATTCGAGGAGCTTCCACATAGATATTTACATCGACAGCGTGATAGAATTAATGCTGCGTTACCAAAAGAGTTCGTTTCGAAGTTCTTGGATGGTGATTCCTCACATTTTTCTGGGCAGGAGGTCCAGCAATCCCTGCAGAGACAGATTAAAAGAGAGTCTGATTCAGACGATATAATTCCAGATACTTTATTTGCAGAGGACTATGTGAACTCCGATTCTGAAGCTAATGCTAGTCATCAAATAGGTTGGGGCTCTGACCATAATAATAAAGAAAGCATTTATTCAATATGTGCATTAAATAGTATGTCTCCTAATGGCTGTGACAATAAGATCTTTAATATCATTGGATATATAGTTGCATCTTTCCCTGAAGACTGGTCTTACATTTGCTCGAAGGGATATCAATTGAATACTATCAAGGGCGAATACGAAACAACTGATCCACTCTTGAGGCACTTGGAATTGCTCATTACTGACGTTTTTCCTTCTATCGATTCTTCTTTGGCCTTGTCGAGCAAGAATTCCCTCCTGATATTTCTCGATGGGCCACAATTATCAGAGATGTTGGGATTACTGAATGTTGAATCAATTTATACTAGAATCCATAGCGCTAATGAAAAGTTCCATGAAATAAGAAATATCCCTTTAAAAATGGTGCTTTATAAAAAGAAGTTGCAAATTAGTCAGAATAAGTATTTGACAGTGTGGACAGCTAAGAACTTAAAACTAAACGTAATATGACGGTCGTAAAGAGGTAAGAAGAAATATCATGCTATGCTTGAATACAGAACTCAATAGTTCACTATTCGATTCTTTTCTCGCTCAGTAAAGATGCCGCCTCGGAGTTATGTCTAGTGGGATGTAGGGACGATGCAACGGAGTTTGCTTTACTTGCAACTTTAGTCATAGTTTCCTTGAATGATCTCATACTTCTGTCAATACCAGAAAATCGTCTTGCCAATTCAACTATTGGCCAAGGAAGTGCTCTAAATATCGGCAAAAAGTTTCCATAAAATGGCAACCTTATTTCACCTCTCCTTCCAAACCTTACTGCTGAAAATACACTTGAAGCGACGTATACGGGGTCTAGCTCTGGAGCTAGAAATGACGATGGTGTCTTGACGCCTTGGAACAATCTTGTCTTTAGCTGACCAGGACAAATTAATAATGTTTTGACACCTGTAGTATTAAATGATGGAGACCCTAACTCATATGTGAGAGATTCGTGTAAGGCTATAAGACCTGATTTTGAAGCTCCATATGCGCTGAGCCTAGCTGGTGACATATATCCAAGAACGGAAGCAATTGTGACTATATACCCTCTGTGCATTTGAAGCATTTCTGGTAAGAATGTTTTGATCGTATAAAAACTAGAGAGAAGATTTATTTGGATAGTTTTCTCAATTTCTAAGTAGCTCAAATCAAGTAATGCCTTTCCAGAGGCAATTCCAGCATTATTGATTAGTATTGTAACACAACCAAGATCATCCTTCACCTTTTTTTGACATTCGATAATTTGCTTTCTGCAGCTAACATCGCAAACATAATAGTGTACACCCTCTATTCGGCTCCTTTCATTTGGTGCAACAATGTCAAATACGACGACTTTAGCATTCTTGGATGCAAACTTCTTCACTATTTCATTCCCGAGGCCAGAGGAACCTCCAGTGATTAAAACAATATCTTTCTCGGAATCAAAATAGTTTCCAATAATGGTATCTGTAGCATAATTTACTTGTTTGCTCAAGTAAAACAAGAGCACCGATAGAAGTTCTCCCATTCCGAATCAATGAACGTTAATTATTATCACGATTTAAAGAAATAATGGGGTTGATTTGAGGTCGCACAAGCAAAATTGCAGCAATTTCGGGTTTTGTGTAGAAGGACTGTATGAGCTAACCTCATCGTATCAAAATATATATTTCAATTTATCACTTTGATAAGTATGCCATCTCATAAGCCACCATCAATCCTTCGTATCAAAAGAAAAAGAGATGAAGATCCACTACAATCGTTGATTTTAGAAGATTCTGGCTCATCAAAGAGATCAAAGACTACTTCTAAAACTTCGGAGGTTGATTCCAAAGGGAAGAATCAAAATGACGATAAACCTAACTACATATTTCAGCTAGACAGAACTGACGAATTTATAAGTAATGATGATGCTTCGATAGATGTTCCTTTAGTTTCTGAAGCAACAGACGCATCTTTTGGAGATCCTCTTGACAGCAACGATAACAAAAAGAAAAAGAGAAGGTTCGTCTTACCACGAAATCAATCAAAGGAAGATAATTTTATTGGAAATGAGCTTACTGATATGCTTGAAAGTCTTCTCAGTGAAGATTTGAAAAACGAGCCGAATATTAAAAAAAGGGGGCGTAATAACTCTTATAGGCTGCCACTTGATAAACAAGAGGATTTACACAAGTCAGAGTACGTTTTCGATGTATATCGACTATCACAAGGGGTCCATCAATCTTATGGGGATGATGAATCGGGCCTACTGATAGGATACATTCGCTTTTTTGAAAATGAAGATAGCGAGCTTCTTGAAGGTGATAGTGATTCGAATTTCTCTAATATATCTGAAGAAGATTCTAATGCGGAAGATTATTACCAGAATGATTACCCATCAGATGAAGATGCTGGGACTCTCAGTGATTCCTACGTAGAATACGTCATTAATGAAGATACTTGTGAGTCTGAAGAGGAAATGTCTCCTAGTGTCCGGGTGGATGGTGATGGTTTTGCTAACTTATATAACGAGTTTCATGAAGATAGTTTGACTTCCAATTTTAATCTATTGAGCGAAGATAAATATTTCAAAAACGATAATTACGTGAATACCCTAAGCGATGGTGATTTATGAATAGTTAATATATTCTGATACGTCTACTTATCTAATAGAACACAAGGGTTTTCTTCATGTTTATGAAAAAAAGTACTTACTTTCCAATACCCCCTTTATGTCAAGTTCACCTGTTGGTGGACTTTTTAATATATTTACAGGAAATAGTATAGGGGTGAATTTCTTTATTGAGAACTTTACTGCCCCATCGGTTTTTTTCGTATCGATCTCTGACGTATATGGTTCCAAGAAGTTAGCACTTCTCCGTGACCTAAAGTATAACGTCGGGTTATAACGTTGAACTAGATCGATGATTTGATTATGAGCCTTCAGACTTTGAACCTCAAGCTCAACATTTAAAATTTTGTTGTACTTAAGCTTTGTGAATGGCGCTTTAATATTATGAAAATTCTCCCTAAAATGAAGTAATTTGTCAACAAATTCTTTATTAGTAGAGTTATTTATCCATAAAAGTTGATATGAATTTCTCACGGTGAAGTTAAAATCATCTCTTAGTAACTCGATAATATTTGATTCATATAGCCTAACAAATTCTTCTCTAATGATCTTTGAAAGCTCATCAACATCCGAAGGGTGTGTCCAAAATGAATCATGAACTGAAGCAAAAGCAATACTTTTTCTACTGGCTGCTAAACACGTCATAAACATATGAATAGCATCAAGTGAATGTATAAAGTTTGGTGAAACTGCTTGAATTTGTTTTTGTAAGTCTATGGTGGCAATTTTGTTTGGTTTTCTAATCAATATATGTTGAAGTGCAGTAGGTAAAATGATCAGCTTAGTGTTCTTATAAGGCTGAATCACAGGAAAGCCAGAAATTGTGGTCCACATCATCGGGTTAAAAAGAAGTGGCTGGAAAAAATCTTGATCTCTCTTGAATGTTTTTTTTATGAAATTCAAAGAGTTTATATCAAAAGAATTCAAAATCCTAAAACAGTTAGTTTCAAGCCATTCTTGAATTTGTCTAGCTCCCGAGAATAACTCAGATATTGATCGAATTACAATTCCAGATAAATAAGCCGATACTCTTCTCTTGTTATCTTTCAAGTTGTTTAGTTGCTCGTTACTCAATAAAGAGGGGTCGCCAACTCTTAGATGAAAATCTACTTCCCGGATTAGTTCCGTGATCTTTTCCTCTATTTGAGCAGCTGCTCCATAATTTGTCACACCATACACACTAGTCATAACTGTCCGCTTAATTAATTTTCTAGACAAAAGTGGTAAGGCCATATTTGCAAGCAAATTATCAAAGCTGTTTTCGTCATCAAAATCTTCAACTACCTTAGTAGTCACAATTTCTAAAACCTTTGAATATACATCTCTCTTTTTGTTTGACTGATCGGATAATAAATTGACTGCAAGACCGCCTTCCTGATCGTTTCCAAGTGCTGCGTAATGTTGTAAACCATTACAAGACCCATCTTGATGAACAGGAATTCTACAAATATACTCTTCAATGGGGAGACCGCTTGTAACATAATCTGAGATCCGACGAAGTTCAATGCAAAGAGCCAATGTTTGCCACGGTTTTTCGGCTTTACTCCACCACATTTTTCCATCTAAAGGATTCTCCGCAGAGTCCAAAATGGCGTCCATATTTGATTCAACAAAACATAACCTTTCTGATTCCAGCGTCTGTGAAATACCAAATGTACCAGCCAATTGATATTTGAGCCATTTAAGGCCCGACTCGCCCAAAGGCTTCCCTTTCCAAAACATGAGTAACCCCCGAGCTAGATCTCCTTGGTAATATGAAAGAGTTGATACCATTGGGTAGGCCCTTCCCCTGAAATCAACATTATGAGGCAAAAAGAAAATGTCACCGTTCTTTCCATATGAATTTACAATGGTTTGAAATAAATCGTGTTCCATTCTCTGGCTCTTTGAGTCATGGTATTCTTGCCTTAGATTATTCTTTCTTTTCCTAGATTCTATTTTGTTCAAATTATCTCCCAGACACAATCTCAATTCTTTCGTCAAATTTTTTAGCATAAAATCTATTTTAGGAGGTATTTTTAAAAATCCTTTGTCAAATGTCATTACCTTATTGAAGATTTCCAAAATTGGAGAATTTACTGCCCACCCATTAGAGCCTAAAATGTTTAAGCCTTCAAATACAGAGCTCAATTGGCCGGTTTGATTAGCTTTTGAAAAATATGGAATCAACAGTGAGTTATCAATAGAATTCACAAGCGGTCTGACATTTTGAAGGTAGCCACCGCTATTTGGCGTAGTCCAAACTTTCGGAGCGACTAACATTGGTAAGTACAACGACTTGCGATTAGGCAAAATTTTGCTTCCTTCAAATTCTTCAATTAAATATGGATGTATCTTGATTATACCAGAGTTCTTAAAAGTACGCTTTTGTAGCTCCTTACTGTATCCCCAACAAAATGCAGGGTAGCTTTCATTATTTTCATTTATGAACAAAGACTCAAAATTATCACCCATTAGAGCATTTAGCTCATGTGCATTTTTAAGGGCTTCCTGGTTAATCATTGATTTAGGAATACGACAGTTTTCGATAAAAACCTTCAACAATGCGCTAAACATCTGAATACCAACATCATTTGCAAAAAAGTCATTGAATATACGCTCAACGTATTGGAATTTCATTTCCTTTAATGCAAGTCTTTTGAAAGATGAAGCTAGTGCTGATGAAATGTCTAGCACAGTAGAATAGCCCTTCTCAGAGGATAATGTTTTGGTTAGTAAAGTGCTGATGATCATTGTCACAAGAATTTTCTCAGGAATTAAACTAAGAAATGAGCTAAACTTTCGTAAATAATACTCATCATCGCTGGGATCTAATTTCATCTGTTCGCTTGAAAGATTAAACCGCTTTTGTAAAGAGGTGAGATGATTCAAATTGGCAGTATACCACATATAGACAAGTTGTGAATTTGAATAGTGAAATTTACTCATCTTTAATGTTTTATTTTTCATTGCGGAAGCAGATAAAGTCGTATCTTCTACTAAATCTAGGCAATGTGCCTCTATATTTGATTCTCTTTGTACATTGAATTCCAAATAGTCTTTGAAAAATTGTGTCTTTTCCTCTGAAGAAAGGCCATCATATATAACATATAGTGGTCTATTATCATGCCCTCTATCGAATTTAGTAAACCTAGTTTCGGAAATAAACTTGCAAAGTTTACTCAAACTCGTTAGACCCAAATCATTTGTATAAGGCTCATAACGACATTCGCCGAATTCAAACTCCTTTGGAGTTTTTTTGACTTGATCTATAGCTATTCCAGTATCTTCATATTGTAATCCTGCTATATCTCTGAAACATTTCAATATTTCTCTATTGCTTTCCAATTTTTTATATTCTTCATAGTTGAGGTTGAGCAAGCGAGAAGTCGACATGATGTATGAAGCAACGCTTTTCTGTAAAAGTATTTCCTTCGAACTTATACCTTGAAATGACAAGATGAGATTTGTAATAATTTTTGCCTTTACCTCTTCCACGTCTATATTTAAATGGGTGTGCAAATTCTGCTTGATTGCAATTTTCTCTGAGCCCACAAAGCCATCAACAATAAGTCTCATATCATGGATTGATGAACTTCTATGCTGTAAAATGTTATGCGCTAAGAATATAATTAATGAAGAAAAGTAGGCTTTCAAGACGTCTTCGCTCATATTCTTTTTGAAATTGGTTTCAAGTTTTCCTAAAAGAATTATTGTTTTATTATAATCATTGTCAATTATTGATCTCAATACTAAGTTCACCAAGTAAAAAGTACTCAGATTTGGAATAGAGACATATCCTGATATCGAATCGCTTATTTGAAATGGTGATATATTTAAAACATTATTCCTTTTCTCTCTGGAAATTTGAGGAAATGCGCTGCTTTGAAGTCCCTCATCAGCACTCCTAGATAAAATATGCTTCAGTGATATAGTTCGAGATGCATATATAAGCTTTTTGACTGACTGTGACCTTATTCTCGTAGTATACATGTAATCTTCATACTTCAAATTATATATTCGTTTATATTATGGGTCGCATATTTTTACTTTGAGGTCAAAATTTTCGCAGGATTAATGATATACGGTAATATTATGCAATTGAATATAAATGACTAATGCTATAAACGGAATGATGGAAGAACACGAAGAACCCATTAGAGCAATTTTTGCCTTTAGTTATTAATAGAAGTTTGAATATGGAAGGTAACAGAAGGAAACTGGGTGACTTCAGCCGTTACCGTTGCGTCTATACCAAAACTTATTAAAATCCCTCTGATAATGCCACATGGAAACCAAAGAAAGCACTTAGCCTTGTTTAATGTGTCATGCATTCCTTTCGGGCTGTTCATTCTTGATATTAGTCTATAACTATTGTCTACCAAGACGAATGTTCCACGGTGGTTTGTTCGTAAATTATCCATTTGCTTTCCATATAAACACTTCCACACATCGCGACATACAAATTTCATGATATCTAAAATATCAACGAATTTGGTATTGGGAGACACAAGAGATGATCTATACATCAATAGCTCTGATATCCTCTGGCCCAAACTGTAACCGTAACCCTCGACCCTAAGAGTCACATCATCTGAAACGCTCAACAGTCTCTCAAGAACATTAACCCTTCCAGCAAAATCTTTTGGTATTGTTGATAGTGGATCTTGTACTTTAGTTTCTTTGAATTTAGATTTCTTTTCTTCTATCAACCTATTTTCACCAAGAGTATGCGTAACTCGAATAGAAGTTGGAACTACCTCCTGCAAAAGAAGATCGAGACAAGCAACATTAACGGTCTCTGATTGATTTAGCGTATCTTCTGACATGCGTCCTTTGACTTAAGAAAAGACAATACCTTTCTAGGATATTAATGGTACAATACTTAAACATCTCGATATCAATAGATGAGACACGTCTTTTGTGGAACTGTGTGCTTCTACTGCAGTGTCGTGCTAGTCTTATCTTATGTCGCGAATTGTCGTTTCGTGTACCAGAAGAAATATGTGCTCGACCTCCCTTATTTGGATCTAGCCCTCCTTCTGAAGAAGCTCATGTCAGTTCCGGACAGTCGCAAACACGTGCAATTTATCTAGGAAAATTTCTTAACGGTAACCGTTTTAAGCCGCTTTGACGCCTCGGAAGTTGACGATAGATGCAGCTTGTCGCCACCGAAGGTAGATACAAAAAAAATTTCTAGGGAAGTGAAAAATGGGACAAATGTCATTTCCGGAATTTTTTACACTTCATTAATAGAACTGTACGATACAAAAAGCTAAGGCTTTGTGTAAAATCCACGTAGAAATTTTAATAAAACAAAACTCAATCAAATACTTCTGCCGTCAACTATAACAACAAGAGATACTAAGCAAAAAAGGGCCTGGGAACTAGTCACAGTCGAAGTTATTTAAGAAGGTGAATAGACATATACGAAGTGCAACGTAATCAGGCCAAGTGATATTGGAACAGATAAATATATCCCATAGGAGACTGCCGTGCTAGAAGTGAAGAGTTGCGAGAAAAACACTCTAACACACTAATCAATCAAACATATCTTGCTGAGAAGTATCTTATAGATACTCACTTCTTTGACTAGGGAAAGAACAATACATTACAGTCTTAAAGTCCCACAAGAAAAGGTAATTATATATTTTAGCAAGAAAATCGTCCAACTTACTTCTTATTTCGGAGGTTTGAAAGTTCAATTATAATTGTTTGCAATCATCCCCTTTTTGGACCCAAACTACTTAGTTTATAAGGTAAATTCATTCGAATTTTTTTCTTGTATCTTCAAGAAAATATCACAGTAACTTTTTGGTTACAAACATTTTTGAAAAGAAGTCAATCTATCATAAGCCAGCAACGAAGCGATCGAGGATTGAAAACTATCAACAGATACATTTTTTTGTTTACTGATCAATCATTTGCATAAGTGGAGACACTACGAGGGTACTCGAAATTTCAAACATTTAGCATATCAGGGATAATTTTCATCCTTCAAACATTCAAGGCATAGAACCCTTTCATTATACTTCTCATATTGTTTTACATTTATTCAGCTTTTAAAAATAACAATGTCAAATACAGAAAGTGGGAGCATAGGTCAATATCCAACACCTGGTGGTAATTCTAATAATGGAAATGTCAATGGAACTTTAATGTCTTCAGGCTCTGCACCGACATCCATGAATGTAGGTGCCACATCTTCAATTAATAGCTCATTAACATCTGCATCAAGTGTCTTGAAATTATCTAATTTACCGGCAGACTTGTCGAAAAGAGAGGCATCGCTAATTTTTTCGTTAGTAGTTGATGAAATAATTAATATTGAAATTGTGGATTACCAAATTTTAGCTTTTTTCAAGAACATAAATACTTGCTTGGCAACTGGAAAGTTGTTGGATGGTAAGTTTATTTTTGGTAGTGAATACGGGCCAGTTAGAGTTGAATATGATAACTCGCCTATCAACTCGCCTAATAATATTTCTCAATCTACGACCAGTGCATTTAATAACTTACGGTTGTCGAATACGAAAATCAGTCCTCCTAATTTGAATCCTCAACTGAATCAATCATCTAGCTCTGTTGGAGCGTCTGGAAATCAGAATAACCCTGCAAATGCGTCTAGCGGTGGGGTGGGAAGCGCTGCATTTGATAACTTCCAGAAGAGACAGTCGCTTGGAAATCAACGATCAAGATTTGTTTTTAGCGATCCATTCGGAGGGCCAACTGGTAGTGGTCGCAACAGCGGAAACACTCCTACGTCTGGAACCATTGATTTGACTGACATCACGGGTAAATCATTACTCTTGATGGAATCACAAAACGATGCCAGAGAATATGAGAACTTAGTAAGGGACCCATGGGGCTCTAGTAATAATTCATTACCGATCAGCTCAGCTCCGCAAACCCCAGGTGTTAACAGCTCTAATCACACCCCATTTGATTGGACAAATAACCCATCCGGTTCCTCAACTGATCGTAGAAGAACTTCATCGTCATTTTTCAATAATTCAGTGCAACCGCTTTCGACCCAACCGTCGTCTAATCTTTTGGGTTCTCATCAGACACCCTCGCAGACAAGTACTCAATCAACTACGAATGGTTCGTCACATTTACCACTGCTTGGTATGCCATCTCATAATCCTGTGAATATGACAGCATCATCATCGACATCTCAGCCTAATTCAAGCAGTGGTCCTCATGTTCTGGGACTCAGCCAACAGCAGACTAACAATAACATCGCATCTTCCGTAACAAATGCACCTAATTCAGAGCAGCAAAGCTCTCAAACGCAGTCTGCTCCGCCCACATCAGCATCTTCTTCAAATTCCAATAATCAAGGTACTGCTGGAAGGCAAACCCTGCAATCTAAGGATGTACCTGATTTATCACTCTTAGCAAGGGTTCCCCCTCCTGCTAACCCAGCTGATCAGAATCCTCCTTGCAATACATTATACGTTGGCAACTTACCTCCGGATGCTACTGAAGCTGAACTTCGCTCATTATTTGCCCCTCAAAAAGGTTTCAGAAGATTATCTTTCAGAACTAAAAATCAATCTCTGAATAATCCTAATAACACAGGAGGTCATAACCATGGGCCAATGTGTTTTGTTGAGTTTGAAGATGTTGCTCATGCAACAAGAGCTTTAGCTGAATTGTACGGCAGAGCTTTGCCAAGACCAAACGGAAGCAGTGGCAAAGGAGGTATTCGCTTATCATTTTCGAAGAACCCATTGGGTGTAAGAGGTCCAGGTAATCCGAGAAGGTCTTCTGCTAATCAGGTAAGTGGCTCAAATTCTACCAACGGGAACAGTAACGCTGTTAGTAACTATGGTTACTTGAATTACCAACAAAAATGAGTAAATTTAAATGCTGTTCGTTTTTCACTCTTCTTCATTATTTTTTCTTATGATTTTTTTATTTGTATTTCAGTTATTTTTACATGTTGAGTAAATCTGTCATGAGTAGTTCTTTTATTAGAGTTCGACTCCTACATTTGTATTATGTTAAGGCTTCTGAAGTCTCATATTTACTTATATATATGCTTTTTTGTATGTACATGAGTATGTATTCTTATGAGGGTATTTTGTAATTTTATTAGTTTGTATCAGCTGCTGATCGGTCATATATGTAATAAAAGAGGCCATATTGCACATTTTTTAGCTCACTTTTAATTTTTTTTTTTGCAACAGATTTAATAAAATTATACCTCTACGAAATATAAATCGCAGTTCGAAATATATAACATTTAGTCTTATATAATGAAGAAAAGTAATAGGACTACCCAGAATAGCAAAGAGCGAGTAAGCTCAGAAGAACAGTTACGTAAAAAAAAACATTCTTTTTCACGTTCATTCGGAGAAGGGAAGACGAAGCTGCCTACGACCAACAGCGCTCAGTTAAAAGATAGAAAGAAACCTAGCTCAGGTTCTATCAGTGGCTCAAGTAAGGTTCAAAATTCTAAAGGACTCAATGAAGGTATATCAGCCCATAATATTTTTCTTGAATATGACAAAGAAATAAAAAGCCCACACGTTGATTTAGAATCAAGGCATAGTGAAGACGAAGACAGTATAATTACTTTAAATGACACTTAATTCACTAAATATAATATCTAGGGAATCGGGAATTCATGAGCCAAAAGTACCATTAGACTCAATCACATTGTGTATACAAATTACAAACACCTGTGACAGCTAACTCATTTTATTAAATTCGCAAATTCTTTTGAATCTGCGTATAGTTGATTTAACCAATTTGACTCAAGTAAGGTCTTCGTATCCAACCTTTCTTTGAAGTTTGGATTTAATAGGCCAAAGATTAAGGGTCTTGCATCATAATGAATTTTTTTGAACAAATCTAATGATGGATTAGTAGCCACATTTAGGTTCTGATCATCCAATTGTTTGCTAAGATCATCAATTTGGTGCTGACTAGTTGGATACAGTTCTTTGAATGCTGAAAAGCTTTTATGTTTGAGGTCATCGCTATCTGCATTAGCCCACGGTGTTCGCATCAAATATATGTGAAAGTATATAATACCCAATGCCCAATTGTCAACAGATATAAAGTCAAGCTCGGGAATATACTTCAAGATGGCGTTTGGATTTTCCTTAATTTCTGCGTCGACTCGAAAGAGTTCAGGGGCCTTGAAGCTGATCGTTCCACAGCATACTTGAGTCTTATTTCTCGTAAAGTAATCACATATCTCTTTTGCATCAATATCAATTCTTAAACTGTAACCGAAGTCTGCTATCTTAATTTTACCGTCTATATCTATTAAGAAATTCTCTGGTTTCAAATCACGGTGAACAATTCCGTGTTGATGTATATAATCAACGCCTTTCACTATCTGCTTGAATATGAAGTCCTTTGATTCGGACAGTATTTCAATTTTCTTGCGTCTTATTGCACTGAGATAACCTAGTAAATCTCCCTTGGGATAATATAAAGTAATTAATGCCAAATTTCCAGAAGTAGGATCAATTGCCACATCAATCGCTTTAATTATATTCATATTTGAACATCTCTTGATATTATCATATTCTCGAGTCACACTTTCAGTATACTCCGAATCATTCTGAAAAGTACGCCTTTTAACAATCTTAATCACAATATTTTTTGTTCTTTCCTTATTCGAACCCTTAAGCACGATTCCATCAGCGCCTTCATGTAACGGTTTGGAGGATAATTTAACATAGTCTTTTCCAACTACAGGATATTCCAGCTTGAAATTTCCATCTGCACCTTCTATGTCATCATGAGCTGATTTATCTGATTCTGATGAAGTTGCCATGAGTGCTCTCAAATCCGTAGAACAGTTCATAATTGTTTAATTTCCGAACTCTTGCTCGCACATGTTATGGCAAGCTTCAAAATCTTTTATGAATTCTGAAAGCTTCTCTTAATCACAATTCAATGGCAAAATAGATATTAGTAAGTTAAACCTTCAGCAATTCTTTCCATGACTTTAATTCATTTTCATGGAGAAGTAGGTCGGCTCGATTTCCGAAAAAGGGTTGGATAGGCCCGACTAGTCTGCATAAATGATAGCAAACAATGTTTTGCATCCAAAGGCTTGAATGACGTTTTGGTCCAAGAAACTTTTTGCAGAAAGGGTTGTCGGTGAGAAGCCATATAAATACATTCAATTATTGTGAAAGCTCAAATTTTATTATTTCCTCATTTCTAGAATATATAATACCAGTATGTTTAGGAGGCTTATAACTTTTATCCCCATTTTGCTTCTTCTAGGTTCAGCACTTTTGTTATTCTTTATCAACTTAGCTGGAGCATCCGACAAGTCAGTTTTGAGGAAGCTTTATTGGTCTCAGGCAACCACTCGAGGTATTTCGGGGGCTCCACATTCAGTTACAAGATGGACCATGTATAACAGTTGTGGTGTTAGCAATGGCGAAAACGTGGACTGTACTTCAAATTCTCCAGCTTATCCCTTTTCTCCAAAGGATAATTTTGGAAGCAGTGGTAGTCTACCGAGTAGTTTCACTAAGAATAGAGATACCTATTTCTACTTATCAAGATTTGCGTACGCATTTTTCTTGATAGGTTTAGTATTAAATATTGTTGCTATTTTATCGGTTTTTGTTTCTTGTTGCTTGTCAGATGTAATAAGTGGTTTAATAAGTACGTTAATTATATCATGTGCCTTGCTATTTACACTCGCCGCATCGTGCTTTATTACTGCTGTTCATGTCAAAGGGAGACATAATTTCCAAAAGAGCGGTTTCGATGCCCTGTTAGGAGTCAAGCTATTTGCCTTTTCTTGGACATCGGTAGCATGCCTACTTCTATCATTGACGATAATGCCGATCATTTCAGGAGTGACGGCCCTCAAAGGAAGAAAGCGTGAACATCCAGATTCGGAGTACGAGAAAATAAGCCCTTCAATTACTTCTTCAAACAGCCAGATCCCGCTCGATGAACCAAGAGTCTAGGGTTTACTATCAAGGAATCTAAATTGCTACTTATAAAGGAAGAGAGATTCTTTAATTATGGAAGTCTTTTCTTGATTTTTCTTTTTTTCGGTTTACTTGGATATTTTTAATTTGAACGGCTCAGAAATATGTAATATATGATTAATAGTGATGAAACATGGTATTCGGAAAGTATAAAGCTTGTATGTGAGCGAGAAAAAAAATTATGAAAAAAGAATCCAGATAAATTAAAGCCATTAAGCCCTGTGGTAATCTTTCCACCCTATTCAACTGAATTTTCGGTGGTAGCATCTTCACTAGCCCCTACTTCTCTTTTATCGACGTAAGCGGCCTGGGCTTCTATTTCTCCTTCTACATCTGCTTCAGCCTCTCTCTTCGTGATAGGAGCACCTTTTCTATGTTTGAGCCAGGTCCATCCCGCTTCTGCATCTGCTTCAGCCTCTCTCTTCGTGATAGGAGC